TCAAACTTATAAGAAATTGTCAGAAACCCATACCTTTAACATTATGAGTAATAAATCACCCATCTATGAAAAATTATTGCATTTCTAAAGCAATGTAGACCTATACCAGCTAAACCCAAGGACGAAAACTTGTAACTTCTGGTTTAAAAATAAAACTGATATAAAGATATAGATACACACGTATAGATACAATTATACTTTGCCAGTAAGAAGATCATAATAAATGATCAACGTAGTACATAACCAAAACAAGAAATCAATCAAAGAACTTAGTTTAAAGTTAAGATACTCAGCCAGGAGCACAGTAGCTCTGCTTATGGTCAAGTGGTCTAGATCCTAAACAGGTTGAGCTATAAACATCTTTAACACATATTAAAAGAATTTGCTAATTATAAACCTAACTTCTGAAAATTAGTATTATTAACCAGTATTATATAATACCTTTTATCAGCACCATACAAATATGTTAAGTATTTGCTGCTACTACTACAACTGCTGCTGATGATACTTTTACTACCACTTACCACTTAATAAGCTCCAAGATATGCCAGGTATAATCTAAGCACTTTATAAGTATTAACTTATTTAATCCTCTAGCAGCCCTGTAAGATAGATACTATTACCATCCCCATTTAACAAATGGGAAAATGAAGTAGCAATAGATTAAAAAACGTAATCAAGGTTACAAAGGTTGTAAAGAGCAGAACTGTGATTAAAACCCAGGCACTCTGATTTGAGCTCATTCTCTTAACCAGTAAAAACAAAACCAAACAAAAAAAAATCCTTAAAAAACAAAAAACTTTATCTTATTTTAGCTATTATCAGTCATATTATTCTATACTTGATTTCTTCAGCCTTGAGGCTTCTACATATTTTTTCCCTTATCTTGGTGCTAGAATACTGTTTACATGGCTCCAGAATTTCTGAGGCATTTTAAAGAATGTATAATAAAGTAATTAGAGCATTTGCCAGAGCATCAGACTCCTTAGGTAGGATCTAACTCCACTATTTGCCAGCTTTGTGACCTTAGGCAAATTACTTACTTCTCAGAGTTTCCTTATTTGTAAGATGAGAATAACAATAGTACCTGCCTCAAAGTCATCATAAGAATTCAATAAGATTCTACCAATAAATATTTATTGGGGAACTAATATATGCCATACGCTGTTCTAGGTAGCCGAGATACCCGTGAAAAAGATTGACATTACATTCTAACAGGGCAAATAGATAATAAACAAGTAGACTAATAAATTCAAATAGTAAGGGCTATGAAGACAATAAGGTACAGTGAAAGAAAATGAGCAAGAAAACATTGGCAAACATAAAGCATATATTTTTACTGACATTAAAAACTCCTGAGATGACTTCTCCAAACATAAGGCTTCTCTGAAGATAACTGACAATTCTTTTCCCCCACTCAGTATTTTAAAGAATTTAAAAGAAAGCTCTTTGAGGGCAGGGATTATGGTATTTATTTACTCAGTCTACAACTAGGTTCCTGGCACTACATTAGGTGCTTGAAACAAAAAGATGAATAAAACAGTCACAGTCTTCAAGGAGGTCTCAGAGAAACTGCTGTTGTCCATAATGGAACTAAGAGCCTATGGAGAGGATATTAAGAGTAAGGTAAGTGTTAAAAACTGAGAAGTAGGGACTTCCCTCGTGGTCCAGTGGTTAAGAATCCACCTTCCAATGCAGGGGATGTGGGTTCGATCCCTAGTCAAGGAACTAGGATCCTACATGCCGCAGGTCAACTAAGCCCACGCACCACAACTACTGAGCCTGCCTGTCACAACTGGTGACCCCGCGTGCCACAACTATAGAGCCCACGCACTCTGGACCCCACACAACACAACTAGAGAGCCTGCACACCACAACTACTGAGCCCTGTGCACTCTGGAGCCCGCACACCACAACTAGAGAGAAGTCTGTGCACCGAAACAGAGAGCCTATGCGCCACAACGAAAGATACCGTGTGCTACAGCTAAGACCTGATGCAAAGAGGAAATAGGCAATCTACCTAAAAAAGAATTCAGAGTAATGATAGTAAAGATGATGCAAAATCTTGGAAATAAAATGGAGAAAATACAAGAAACGTTTAACAAGAACCTAGAAGAACTAAAGAGCAAACAAACAATGATGAACAACACAATAAATGAAATTAAAAATTCTCTAGAAGGAATCAATAGCAGAATAACTGAGGCAGAAAAACGTATAAGTGACCTGGAAGATAAAATAGTGGAAATAACTACCACAGAGCAGAATAAAGAAAAAGAATGAAAAGAATTGAGGACAGTCTCAGAGACCTCTGGGACAACATTAAACGCACCAACATTCGAATTGTAGGAGTCCCAGAAGAAGAGAAAAAGAAAGGGACTGAGAAAACACTTGAAGAGATTATAGTTGAAAACTTCCCTAATACGGGAAAGGAAATAGTTAATGAAGTCCAAAAAGCACAGAAAAGTCCCATACAGGATAAATCCAAGGAGAAACATGCCAAAACACATATTAATCAGACTACCAAAAATTAAATACAAAGAAAAATATTAAAAGCAGCAAGGGAAAAACAACAAATAACATACAAGGGAATCCCCATAAGGTTAACAGCTGATCTTTCAGCAAAAAACTCTGCAAGACAGAAGGGAGTGGCAGGACATATTTAAAGTGATGAAAGGGAAAAACCTACAACCAAGATTACTCTACCCAGCAAGGATCTCATTCAGATTTGACAGAGAAAAATTAAAACCTTTACAGACAAGCAAAAGCTAAGAGAATTCAGCACGCCCAAAGCAGCTTTACAACAAACCCTAAAGGAACTTCTCTTGGCAGGAAACACAAGAGAAGGAAAAGACCTACAATAACGAACCCAAAACAATTAAGAAAATGGTAATAGGAACATACATATCCATACAATTATACTCCAATAAAGATGATAAAAAAAACACCTGATGCAGCCAAAAATAATAAAATAATAAATTAATTAATTTAATTACATAAAATAAAAATAAAATGTTAATTTAAAAAAAAAGAAAATGTTCTTGAGAAATACAAGGAACATTCCAGATGGGAATCTAACTCAAAATTGGGGACACCAAGGAAGGCTTCCTGAAGGATTAGCAGAAGTCAGACAAAAAAAAGTGGGAAAGAGGAGAAAGGGGAAAAGAATGCAAAAAGTTCATGAAGGCCTAAAGACTGTACAGGTAAACAGGAGCTTTATAAGCCATCTAAAGACTTCTGGAATTTGTCAGTCAGTTGTTTCATCCCCTACCTGAAAAACTAAAAATACAGACAGACTATATGAAACAATAGTTTTTAAGATACAGGGCATCAGGTAAGGAAGAGTGATCCCTGAGAGATGGGAAACAAATGAGATTAAGCCTTGTGATTCTTTCAGCTTGTTGTACTGAGAGTTTGCATGCTGTGGCATGGGGAAGGGGAACCCAGATAGAGCCCAGCAAACCCAAGTTGAAGAGATACTGCTGAGAGTCCAGGGAGACCAAGAAGACTAAAGTTCACAGAGGAGAAAGCAGAATGGAGAGTGCTGCACAAAGAATGCACTCCAGAGATCTGCAGAAGGACCTCTCAAGTATCTAGTAGAGTAATGATCAGCACATGCCAATGAGGAAACAATCCAAGACAGTGGCAAGAACCACCTGAAATGATGAGACACTCACAGACAGCATGGAACAGTGCCTGTTCCCACCAGCCAGGCTGGAAAACTTCATAATTCATGGAGCATTAGGTAGAGGACTCAAAAGGAGATAGCCTCTACTGAGGTAGCCCAAAACTAAACCCGGCTCAGGTCCTACCTAACAAATCCTAAAAGCAAGAACCAAAAGGATCAAGCTGATTCCAAGTAATTTAACTGCATCCCAGAGCAAAACTCAAGAGTACTTATAGAAATACGATAATATCCAGTACCCAACAAGGTAAAATTTGCAGTATTTGGAATTCAATAAAAAATTCCAGGCATGATTCCATTTATATAAAACTATATAAATGAAATATATTTCATTATACAATATCAAAAAGTCACATATACAATATCACCACCAATAAATATCATCAGAGTTTTTAAGTATCAGAAAACTGCTAAGCTCACAGTAGTATACACAATTTTTCAAAATTCTGATTTTTCACTGAAATCTCAAATTTTATCAGGCTCACTTTATTTTCGAGAATTACCAAAGTTAGTCTCAGTTATTCTTTCAAGTAAAAACAATGTTCTGTGAAAAAAGTGGCTAGTTCAGCTCACAATCCAAACAATCCTATAAGTGCTTTCCCTCAAGAAAACCATCCTACTCCTGAATGCAAAAGTGATTTACGAAAACTACTCTATTCTTCACAAAGAATGTTAAAAATCTCAAGGGTGAAGATTTAATAAAATTAGTAATTTTTACTGCTTCATCAAGGACTTAGGTGAAACTGGCTTTTCTTAACTGTGCATCAACAACGGTGAAGAAAATTACTATTAATACAGGTTGATGCCACTACCCTTATTGTGCTAAAGCACCAACAGTTTTACCAACCTATGCTTTTGTACCATCAGTGCAAATGTCAAAGACGGTAAAAAAAAAAAAAAAAAAAAAAAAAAGGTAAGTAACATCTTAACATCACTATGAAAATACTTTTGACCTCACAGACTATCTGGAAAAAAATCTCAGGAATCTCCAGAGCTCCCTGGACTACTCCTTGAGAACTGATGCCCTAAGGACACTGAAAGAACTCTAGGAAGTAGAGTTCACAAACATTAGAATGTAAAAGAGGAAAAAAACTTTCAGATCTCGTTCTAGTCCAATTCTCTTATTTTATAAATGAGGAAACTGGGGCACAAAGAGCATAGGTTTACCATCTCACACAGCAGAAGACATGTGACAGCACTTAGGACTTCTGAGTTGTTTTCTACTCTTCTTTGATTACACTGTTCTTCATTTTCAAAAATGGATTTAGCAAATTCCACATTTTCCTTCTTTAAACTGAACAATGGCATAAATACATACATTTTGTGGAGAAAAGGAGTTTACCTTTCCTAATGGGGAGTTGAGTTTTGTGGTCTTTCCTGAAGCAACTTTTGCATCCAAATGGTGCACCTCCTTTTCAAAACAATGACGTTTTCTAATCTGTAAATACAGAACCAAAATAAAATTTTTTGTAACTAGGAAGTTTGATGAGGCTAGTTGCTCTCAAAGATCAGAATAGCTATAGCGTATGTTTTCAGCATTAAAAAAATGACTATTTCTCACTGGCAACAATCAAAAAGTTTCTAAAAACAAATAGGCACCTTATTATATGACTTAAATAAAACAGAATACAGTAATACCTCTCAAATTCCGACCAAAATAGCTTTACCTAATGATGTGGCAAAACTATAGCATTGTAAAATGATCTTCCCATAAAACAGTCCCACCATATGGATACCAAGAATAGTATTATGGCAAAGTCCAATTACATATCTAATTGGAAAATAAAAGTAAATAAAAGTGGAAACCTTATTCTAAATTGAAAAAAAACACAGAATAAAAACTTCAAATGTAAATATTCATTATTTCCTACCTGATGAAATAAATTACTTGATTACTATTATTATATTACTTACTAGATATTTGATAATCCAAATTGTATTTGACTAAATTTCTTTTATAAACACCACTGTTTTCTTTCCAAACTATCTATGCTTTTTCTTACTTGCCAAAACCTATTTACTTAAATTATAAAGAGGAAAAGAAGCATTTCTGTCGATAATTCCATTCCTACAAAAAAGAAATGAGAGCCAATGAAGTCAGGGAATAAATGCTGTATGTTGAGCTCTACCTCACAACATCCAACTCTAAGTACACATGTGGGAGGAAAGAAATCTCTAGAGATACTTCATTTGTAATTGGTGATTTTCCAAATATAAAACTAGAAAATGATTTCATTCTATTTCTAAAAACAAGGTTTAATCATGGAAGTTAATAAAGATTGTAAATGGAACAGATAAACTACATAAAAATGCAAACACCTTTTGAGTATATTCAATTAAAAATATACAATTATCTACAAAGGACATGTTAATTTAATAATCTTTTGTATTTGTAACTAAGTCTATTAAAGTCCATCCTCCTTACCTCAATGCCATGAACTCTATGAGAAAACAATGTTTTCACCTATGAAAACATTTCATTTAAAATTTCTAGTAATTTCAGTTCTTCAATAATTTTTAGAAATAAGCATATTTTATAATGTATTGATATTAAAAACTCAATAAATAACAGTAAACCTTGTCATTACATTAAAACTATCAATACCAAAAGTATCTGTGACCTAAATATTCATATCAGAGGTATATTGGCCAAAAAAAATGCCATTATTAGATTAAAAACAAAAGAGGAGTTAAAAAGTACAAAGTAGCTCTGTTACTGATACATGCCTTAAGTAAATATTTTATTGTCAAATTCCTTATATATAAGAAAGCACCATTCAGTTTCACTTTAATGACATGCTACTATGAATAATTTACTATAATAAACTCCTTTGTAAGGAGTAACTCTATACAATGAAATTATAATAATTTACCATTTAATTCACATCTGACACTACCCAAAATAGTCTCTACAGATGCCACTGAAAAATGATTGATACTTGACTACCTTGTTCAGCTATAACTAACGGGATTATTCCACTGCCAATAAACTGTTTACCTGTTGTGCAGTTTCTAAGGGTCGAATTCTTTTCTTCTCTACTTGAAAATCATCATTTTCATCTCTGTACATGGATGCCTGTTTCTTAGCAGATAGCTTTGCAGCCAGTGTAGTTTTTTCAGGAGAGTCTTATATAAGAAGTCATAAAAAATTAGTATAAGTAACTTACATTTAAGTAATATTTTTAGAAAAAAATTGAAATCAAGATGTAACTTTAATCTGTAAAAATACTGAATCACTATGCTGTACACCCAAAACTAAGATAATATTGTAAATAAACTATGCTTCAACTTTAAAAAAGATGTTAAGACTTATTTCTAAAAACTTCATAACACAGTTTAAAATAGAAAATGCTAAACATCTTTAAAAGCACCTATTTACCGCTCAGTATACTTTAACAAAGACACAGCAAACATTTTTAGAAATATGCTTTCAAGAGGAAAGTCCATAAATGGTGCTGGGAAAACTGGACAGCTACATGTAAAAAAATGAAATTAGAACATTCTTTAACACCATACACAAAAATAAACTCAAAATGGATTAAAGACCTAAATGTAAGACAGGATACTATAAAACTCTTAGAGGGAAACACAGGCAGAACACTCTTTGACATAAATCGCAGAAATTTCTTTTTCAATCCATCTCCCTGAGTAATGGAAATAAAAACAAAAATAAACAAATGGATGTACACTACCAAATGTAAAATAGATAGCTAGCGGGAAGCAGACTCATAGATCAGCTCAGTGCTTTGTAACCACCTAGAGGGGTGGGACAGGGAGGGTGGGAGGGAGATGCAAGAGGGAGGGGATATGGGGATATATGCATACATATAGCTGATTCACTTTGCTATACAGCAGAAACTAACACAACAATGTAAAGCAAGTATACCCCAATAAAGATGTTAAAAAAAAATAAAAGGGACCTAATTAAACTCAAAAGCTTTTGCACAGCAAAGGAGATGATAAACAAAACGAAAAGACAACCTGCAGAATGGGAGAAAATATTTGCAAATGATGCAACCAAAAAGGGATTAATCTCCAAAATTTACAAACAGCTCATGCGGCTCAATATCAAAAAAACAAACAATCCAATCAAAAAATGGGCTGAAGACCTAAACAGACATTTTTCCAAAGAAGACATACAGATGGCCAAGAGGCACATGAAAAGATGCTCAACACTGCTAATTATTAGAGAAATGCAAATCAAAACTACAATGACGGTCCAGTGGTTAAGACTGTGTGCTCTCACTGCCGAGGGCCCGGGTTCAATCCCAGGTCGGGGAATTAAAATCCCACAAGCTATGCAGGGTGGCCAAAAAAAAAAAAAAAAACGAAAAACTACAATGAGATATCACCTCACACCAGTCAAAATGGCCATCATCAAAAAGTCTACACAAAAAGAAAATTATAGACCAATATCACTGATGAACATAGATGCAAAAATCCTGAACAAAATACTAGCAAACAGAATCCAACAGCACATTGAAAGTATCATACACCAGGATCAAGTGGAATTTATCCCAGGGATGCAAGGATTCTTCAATATACGCAAATCAATCAATGTGTGATATCAACAGACGCAGAAAAAGCTTTTTACAAAATTCAACATCCATTTATGATAAAAACTCTCCACAAAATGGGCACAGAGGGAACCTACCTCAACATAATGAAGACAAAATATGACAAACACACAGGAAGCACCACACTCAATGGTAAAAAACTGAAAGCATTTCCACTAGGATCAGGAAGAAGACAAGGATGTCACTCTCGTCACTTTTATTCAACATAGTTTGAAAGCCCTAGCCACAGCAATCAGGGAAGAAAAAGAAATAAAAGGAATACAAATTGCAAAAGCAGCAGCAAAACTGTCGCTATTTGCCGATGACATGATACTGCACATAGAAAATCCTAAAGATGCCACCAGAAAACTACTAGAACTAATCAGCGAATTTGGTAAGGTTGCAGGATACAAGATTAATGCACAGGAATCTCTGGCATTCCTATACACCAATGACGAAAAATCAGAAAGAGAAATTAAGGAAACACTCCCATTTACCATTGCAACAAAAAGAAAAATACCTAGGAATAAACCTGCCTAAGGAGGCAAAAGACTTGAACTCAGAAAACTATGAAACACTGATGAAAGAAATCAAAGATGACATAAACAGATGGAGAAATATACCATGTTCTTGGGTTGAAAGAATCAACATTGTGAAAATGACTATACTACCCAAATCAATCTACAGATTCAATGCAATCCCTATCAAACTACCAATGGTATTTTTCACAGAATTAGAACAAAAAAATCTTACAATTCGTATGGAAACACAAAAGACCCCCAATAGCCAAAGCAATCTTGAGAAAGAAAACAGAGTTTGAGGAATCAGGCTCCGCGACTTCAAACTATACCACAAAGCTACAGTAATCAAGACAGTATGGTACTGGCACAAAAACAGAAATATAGATCAATGGTACAGGATAGAATGCCCAGAGATAAACCCATGCACATATGGGCACCTAACTTACGACAAAGGAGGCAAGACCATACAACGGTGAAAAGATAGCCTCTTCAATAAGTGGTGCTGGGAAAACTGGACAGCTACATGTCAAAGAATGAAATTAGAACACTTCCTAACACCGTACACAAAACTAAACTCCAAATGAATTAAAGACTTAAATGTAAGACCAGACACTATAAAACTTTTAGAGGAAAACATAGGAAAAACACTCTTTAACATAAACCACAGCAAGATCTTTTTTGATCCACCTCCTAGAGTAACAGAAATAAAAACAAAAATAAACAAATGGGACTTAATTAAACTTAAAAGCTTTTGCACAGCAAAGGAAACCATAAACAAGACAAAAAGACAACCCTCAGAATGGGAGAAAACATTTGCAAATGAGACAACAGACAAAGGATTAATCTTGAAAATATACAAGCAGCTCTTGGAGCTCAATATCAAAAATCAAACAATCCAGTTAAAAAATGGGCAGAAGACCTAAATAGACATTTCACTAAGGAAGACATACAGATGGCCAAGAGGCACATGAAAAGATGCTCAACATCACTAATTATTAGAGAAATGCAAATCAAAACTACAGTGAGGTATCACCTCACACTGGTCAGAATAGCCATTATCAAAAAACCTAGAAACAGTAAATGCTGGAAAGGGTGTGGTGAAAAGGGAACCCTCCTACACTGTTGGTGGGAATGTAAATTGATACATCTACTATAGAAAACAGCATGAAGGTTCCTTAAAAAACTAAAAGTAGAACTACCATATGACCCAGCAATTCCACTACTTACAATAGCCAGGACATGGAACCAACCTAAATGTCCATCGACAGATGAATGGATAAAGAAGATGTGGCACATATATACAATGGAATATTACTCAGCCATAAAAAGAAACGAAATGGAGTTATTTGTAGTGAGGTAGATGGACCTAGAGTCTGTCATACAGAGTGAAGTAAGTCAGTAAGAGAAAAACAAATACTGTATGCTAACACACGTATATGGAATCTAAAAAAAAAAAAATGGTACTGATGAACCTAGTTGCAGGGCAGGAATAAAGGAGACATACAGAATGGACTTGATGACACGGGGTGGGAGGGCAAAGCTGGGGCAAAGTGAGAGTAGCACTGACATACATACACTACCGAATGTAAAATAGATGGCTGGTGGGAAGCAGCAGCATAGCACAAAGAGACTGGCTTGGTGCTTTGCAATGACTTAGAGGGGTGGGATAGGGAGGATGGGAGAGAGGCTCAAGAGGGAGGGGATATGGGGACATGTGTATGCATATGGCTGATTGGCTTTGTTGTGCAACAGAAACTAACATGGTATTGTGAAGCAATTATACTCCAATAAAGATTAAAAAAAAAAAGATTATCAACCTCATTAGTTACCACAGAGGTAACAATTAAAATTCACGAGAACACACAGGCACCATAACGACTAAAACTTAAAAAGACTTGAATATCAAATGCTAACAAGAATGCTGGGGGCTTCCCTGGTGGTGCAGTGGTTAAGAATCTGCCTGCCAATGCAGCGGACACGGGTTCAAGCCCTGGTTCGGGAAGATCCTACATGCTGTGGAGCAACTAAGCCCGTGTGCCACAACTACTGAGCCTGCGCTCTAGAGCCCACGTGCCACAACTACTGAAGCCTGCGCACCTACAGGCTGTGCTCCACAACAAGGGAAGCCACCACAATGAGAAGACCACACACTGCAACAAATAGTCCCCACTAGCCACAACTAGAGAAAGCCCGCGAGCAGCAACAAAGACCCAATGCAGGCAAAAATTAAAAATAAATTAAATTAATAAATTAAAAAAAGAATGCTGAACAATGTAACTTCCATATACTACTAGATGTAGAGTCGGGGGGAGGATGAATAAATTGGTTCAACCATTTTGGAAAACACTGGCAGTATCTACTATAGTTCAACATATGCATACACTATGACCAGCAATTCCATTCCTAGATCTATATCTAATAGAAAGTGTTTACATATCTGTACCAGAATGAACAAGAATGTTCATAATAGCTTTAATAACCAAAATTAGAAATCACCCAAATGTCTAACAATTGTAGAATGAAATAATAAATTATGGTATATATATACCATAAAATACAGCAATAAGAACTACTGTTATATACAACACAACTGAATCTGAGAAATATGTTAAGCAAAAGCTGACAGACACAAGAGTACAGATATAATTCCATTTCTATAAAGAAGCAAAACTCATCAATGGTGACAGAGGGAGAATAGCTACTACCTGTGGAGAGAGAGAATAGTGACAGGAAAAGAACATGAGAAGTGTCACTGGGGTGTTGGCTATGTCCTATTTTTCATCTAGTGGTAGTTACACAAGTGTGCTTACTTTGTGAAAATTCATCAAGCTATACACATAGTATTTGTGCATTTTTCTGTATTTAGGTTATATTTTTAAAGAATTTACTTAAAAATGTAAAGAGAGCATCAGAATACAACCCAGATTTACCCCATCTGATCCTTGAAGAGACTACTCTAAACAACTCTAACTCACAATTATATTAAAATTCAAGTTTATTGAAAACTGATTCTTTACAAAGGCACAAAGGCAATGTAGCAAAGGGTAGCCTTTTCAATGTTGATGAAAAATTAGATATTCATATGCAAAATAAACAAACCTGGATCCACATCTCACACCGTACACAAAAATTACTCTTAGACTTAAAAGTAAAACCTAAAACTATACTTGATTAAAAAAAGAAGCTTGTACTCAAGAATATATAAAGAAATCCCAGGGGCTTCCCTGGTGGCGCAGTGGTTGAGAGTCCGCCTGCCGATGCAGGGGACACAGGTTCGTGCCCTGGTCCGGGAAGATCCCACATGCTGCAGAGCAGCTGGGCCTGTGAGCCATGGCCGCTGAGCCTGCGCGTCCAGAGCCTGTGCTCCGCAACAGGAGAGGCCACAGCAGTGAGAGGCCCGCATACCAAAAAAACAAAAACAAAAACAAACTAACAAACAAAAAAAACAAAAAAAAAGAAATCCCAAACTTAACAGTAAGAAAAAAACAATAAACAGGCAAAAGATTTCAACAGACATTTCATCAAAGAAGATATACAAATGGCTAATAAGCACATGAAAAGATGCTCAACATCACAAGTCATTAGGGAAAAGCAAAATAAAACCACAATAAGATACCACTATAAGCTTATTAGAATGGCTAAAAAGATTTACCATACCAAGTGCTGGCAAGGATGCAGAGAAATGGGAACTCTCATATACTGCTGGTGGAAATGTAAAATGGCATAACTACTTTGGGAAACAGTTTTGAAGTTTCTTAAAGTTAAACGTAAGTGATCCAGTCATTACACTCCTAGGTATTTACCCAGAAAAGTGAAAGCACATGTCCATGACAACGACTTATACACAAATATTCACAGCAGCTTTATTTGTAACAACCGGAAACTAGAAACAACTCAAATACACATCAACAGGTGACTGCATAAACAATTTGCAGTATATCCATACAACAGAATATTACTCAGCAATAAAAAAGAACCAACTGTTGATACATGCAACAACATGGTTGAATTTTAAAAGAATTATGTTAAGTGAAAGAAGCTAGGCAAAATAAGTATACAAACTGTATTATTTCATTCATATAAACTCTAGAAAATGCAAACTAATCTACAGTGACCGAAAACACTCAGTGGTTGTTTGGGGAGGATAAATTATAAAATGGTGGAAAGGAGGGATAATAAAGGGGCATGAGAAAACTTCTGAAGCTGATGGATATATTCACTATCGTGATGGTAGTGAAAGTTTCAGGGAAATACTCCTATGTCGAACCTTATCAAAATGCACCATTTAAATATATAGAGTCTGTTATGTCAAGAATATTTCAGTAAAGCTGTCTTTAAAAAAAAATACAGGTTGTACATAAACATTATAAGCCAAGAGTTCTTACATTAATAATTAGCTTAAAATCAATTCCATTCATTCATACAACAAATATTTATCTAGCTCCTACTATATGCCAGGCACTGCTAGGTATGCAATGGTGAGCAAACTGACACAGTTCCTGACCTCATGGAGTATACAGTCTGCTAGGGGAAGCAGAGATTAATAAAAGATGCACACAGACACGTGGATAATACAAATTGTAACAAGTGCTATGAAGGAGAGGTAGACGGTGAGATGACAGAATATAATAGGGAAACCAAATGTAGTGTGATGGAAAGATCAGTATGGCTGCCTTAAAGAAGTGATATCTAAGCTGAGAGCTAAAGGAAGAGCAGGACAACAAGTTGAAGATGAAATTTTCCTCAGAAGAGACACTAACACAAGCAAAGGCTCTGAAGGCAGCAGAAAGCATGACCCTTTGAAAGAATGGAAAGAAAGCCAAAAATGTTAAGGGTCAAAACCGAGTAGACAACACTATTGGTCACCTCTCCGGCATCTATTCCACTTCCTCTTCCTCATTCCTAAAAGAATCACACTTTGGTTCAAGCAGGTACCATCCTCCACACAGTCATGTGCTTTAGAGGAAGACAACTAGATCCTTGATTTTAGGAAGCGGAATAGATGTTTAGACTTAAGCCAGTCATGGCAACCTCTTTTCTCCCTGCCAGTGACTAGTTAAGGAATGGCATGAGTGAAAGCGGGAAAGGAGTTACTACACGGTCTAAAGAACAAATGGTAGTTTGTACTAGGGAAGTTACCAATGGAGGTGGAGATTTGCATGGAGGAATAAGGAACAGCAAAGTGTACAGGGTGTCTCCTAGGTTTCTGGCTTAGGCAAGTAATGGTCAATCTTTTCCATACAGTCAAAGCAAAAGAAATATTCTTTAAATTAATAATCTTATGTTATTGATAATACATTTCTCTTAAATAAATCTAGTAAGAACATCTAAGGATCATATTTGAAACATACCTCATTCTCATATAGGATACTGGTCTCAGAAGTCCAGGCAAACTTATCAAGAGTGAATGAGACTAATTAGATTTTGCCTTACAATACAAATCAAAATGTTTTATAAAATTCTGACATATAATTAATACTGCTTACAAATAACATCAATTTCTGAATATCAGTTATTTTGCCTTGCTTCCTCAAAAATGATTTAAACTAGGAAGATGTCTGAATCAGTTAAAAGTGAGGCCAAGAATAAAATATTCCAAGGATTTCTGACCACTCTATGCATTATTCAAAATAATTCCAGAGAAATTAGGTGGAAATACATAACCAATTATGCTAACCAAATTTATCTACATTAGGTCTCATAACAGCAATAATTAAGACCCCTACTACAGATACCAAAAGACCCAGACAAAATATAAACTACCTTGACAAGTTGACAAAGTGCCATTTCTTTCAGAAGTTGGTGTACTTGGACTGTTGAAATGATATGAAGTTCCCTGGTTCACGTCACTGTTTGTAAAATTCTTTGAATGACATGTACAACAACACGACAATGGTACTTCAGCTTTTTTACTTAAGCCTTCATTCACTGGCTTCCCTAAAAATGAAATAACCTCTATTTATAATATTTCTAATTAAAAAACATTAATCTTCCTCTTCAGCTAGGGTGCGCAACCACCTTATTTTTTGCCCAGGATTGGGAGGTTTCCCAGGATTCAGAATTTCAGTTCTAAAACCAGGAAAGTACCTGGCAAATCTGGACAAGTTGGTCACCCATCCTGCAGCATCAAATTAGGACAGGTGAGAAACACTTATGCCAGAAACATTTATAGAGAAGTTATCAACAATTTACATGATTTACAAAAATCTAATAACAAAGATTAATAATGTAACAGAGGCACAACCACTCTAGTATTCATTTATATTGATATATTAAAATACCAAGTATACCTAAAGTATATTCTTAATTAGTTATACTCTTAATTACTGCTACTTCCCTAAATGAAAAATTTGAAAGTTCAATGTAAAATAATAATGTAAACACATAACGTTAAATTATTCCCACATTATACTTCTATTTCAAAAGACACGTTTCAGGATATCATTTCTGATACATGTATCAAAATACATGTTAAAGTCAATATTCAAATTAAATAAAACAGGTAATTTTCAATACTTAAATATAATACAAAATTGTAACAGTTCTTCGTGTGCCTACATTGTATAAATATACAATTCATAGATATATAAAAGCTTAATAATTTATTTTATTTTCTATAAACAGTACTGACATTATTTTCCCATCTGCACTACATAAATACTAATTTTATTTTCCAGAGTCTCCCACTAAAAATTTATTAACAGATAATCTCATTTTCCCCAAAGATAAACATCAGTAAGAAACAAAATGGACAACCAAAAGCTTATAAAATATTTACTCTTTATTTTTAATAGTCTTACCAGTAACACAACTATTTCTTTTCAAAAAACATATATATGTGCGTACATATATATACACACATACATACATACACATATACACCCATGGTTAACTTTAAAATCTCCTAATACTTTAGGACAGAGCCATCTAATTACGTAACTAAAATGTGACTAATACTGTATTTCAGATTCATTATGTATATTAGATAGTCTTTCACAAAAGTAACTAGACATTTGCTAGCAAATAAAGCTATGGGAAATAATATGAATTCATAAAAACAATATTACAATAAACTTCTGCTTATCTGGCATCCAAACAAGTAGAAAGGTCAACTAGAATTTTTCTTTTTTGTGTATTCCATTTTCTAATGTGAAATAAGCAGCTATATTAAAGGATTTACTCAAAAAAAGCAATTATTTGTATTGATAAGCTATATAATCATGACAGCCCCATCTCTTGCAACTTTTATATAAAAATTATCATCTAATTATTTTCATAATCATTATGAAAAATAATAAAAATAAAATCCTAGATTCTTATATACATGCTGAATCATCAAATAAAGGACTATCTTATGTTCAAAATTATTTTAGGATTAACTGAACATATTTTGCTATATTGAAACTCTTTTGGAAGATATATAACTGATTATAAAGAAATATCTTAAAAGAGAATATTTAAATTAGCTAGAACATGGCTGAATCATTCTGGGTAAAAAGTACTTTATTAGATTTTTTTCAGGTCCCAATAAGCAACCTGAAGACATCAACCAACTACTTACCACTAAGAGATTGCTGCCACGCTAAAGCAGAGCAAAGTAAGGCTAAGCTTTTCCCACTCCCTGTGGGGCTCTCCAACAAACAATGCTGCTTACTATTTAATCCTCTGACAATCTATGGACACAAAAACAATTTTAAAAAATCAACAACTTATTTCATTAAAGTCTCTCTCCATACAACAACAAGAAGTAAAGTTGCATGTACTTCAGGGAACAGAGCAATAGCAGAAAGGAGAACTAGAATTTAGTTAAATCTAGACTTTATTCCTTTGTATCTCTCCCTAAAATTCTGTTAGATTTAAACCACATCAAGCACGAAAGAAATGAAAAGCAATTTGTGCCTTACTTATGCAAGCACCATCATTTCTGTAAAACTAGAATACACTAATATCTTTGATGAAAACTTAATGGGGGATACTGTTGGTGGGAGTGTTACAACCACTCTGTACAGAAATTAACAATTTCTAGTAAAGTTAACGATACTGAACTCCAGCAATCCAGTCCTATGTAAACACCCAAAACCTTTCCCACAGGAACACAAGGAAACATGTATAAGAAAGTTCATAGCAGCACTGCTTATAATTGCAAAATAATGTAAACAACCCAAATGTCTATCAAGAGGAAAATGGGCAAATATAAAATTCTGGTATATTCATACAATGGAATACCATACAGCAATGAAAATGAGTTATCAATCAATAGGGCTACATCTTAAAAATAATGTTAGACAAGGGAACAAGGTCGTGAGGAAAGGAGGGCTTGGTGTGCTGCTGCCATTTCTTCCGCCTTCAGTCTCTGCACCTTCCACAGGCTTCCAACAGCACTACGTTGGGACAGAGCATCTGGAGGTTCACAACCTCTGTGGTCCACAGGAGCCACTATGAGCAGGGTCCATTTACCATTTTCAGTGGTAAACAAGGGGCGATTACTAGTTACAATGACTTTGTACTTCTGATCTAGATTTGTTTCTCCTTTCTTTATAGTAAGACATCAACTGCTCAAAAAATAATCCATGAAACAAATATGAAGAGGAGCATTTTAAGAGGTGCAATCTCTCTGAAAAAAGGATCCAACTCTTGAACCCAACATACTAGGTACGTCTATAAATAAACTTATGGCATAAATCCTTAAAAAATAATAATAAGAAGAATATTAAGTAAAAAAAAAATCAAGTTCTCCAGAAAGATAAGTATAATATCATATCATTGTGCAAAGTTATAAAAACGTAAAGTATACACTATATTGTTTATGGATACATACATATGCAATAAAAGTATAAAAACATGGCTAGGAAAGAAAAATAACAAATTCAGGATATTAGTTATCTTCTTACTCATAAACAAGGTATAAAGTAAATAAGGCAAAATATTAAGATTTAACAAAGCTGGTAAGTTGGTTTACTCAAGTTCGTATATTAATTTTCTGTATGACTGAAATATCTCAAAAAAATTATGGTGCAAAGTATAGTAGTCTGCGTAAAAGGTAGTAAATACTTTCTATTTCAAAGTAATTCAGTAAAGTAAACAGAAGTTCTAAATGAGCTGAGAACATTTTTCAGGATGTTCTCCTTTACCTCCTAATCATAGACATATACAGTTTAGCAGCAATCAGTATTATTTTTCCAAAGGTTAGATGTTCTTCAATGAACCCAGCAAATATTTTCAATCCATTTACTATCTGAGAAAATGTAGTCACAGACTCAATGTGTGTTATGAATTATAAGCATCTGTATCTTAATAAAGACTTAAAATAACTGCTGAACAATACTTACAGAATTCATCATAGCAAGCTGTGATGGATAAGCTTTACAAGGAAAGTTAATCTTCACCCCACCAACTGTATACTCAGAACATACTGAAGACATCATGCTTTACTGTTTACTTCAGATTCCTAACTGCAACAGAAATGAAAGTCAATACTGAAACAAAGCCATTCAAAGAAAAACAGATACCTAAGACTAGGACAGAAGTCTAGAAACAAAAATTGGAATTAATAAATGTATAAACAAAACAAATGGAAGTAAAAGGATTTCCTACTCTTATAAATCACAGTGGTTTGAGAGCATGTCTTGGAATCTAACAAATCTGGATCTGTAAACTTATTCTGCCAAAGCTGTGGACCAGGAGTTAGGAAGTAGGTTCTACATCAGGTTCTGACAACAACTCGGATATGTTACCCTGATCATGTCTCTTCATTTCTCTAGACTGAGATCCTTATCTGTAAAAATCCATAATTTAAAAATTGTTGTAAGGAACAAAGCGCCTTGGCACATGGTAGGTGCTCAATAATTCTTACTTAAAGGTCAGTAGGGTATAATGGAAGGAAGATGGACTTTGAAGTAAGGCAAGCCTAAATCTGCCTAAATTTGAATTCCACTGGGAATCTCACAGAGCCTGTTTCTTCATCTGTGAAATAGAGATATCCACCTGATAGGGTTTTTATGAAAATTAGCCAGGCACTGACTTAAGAATTAAATAAGGTAATGTAGAGAATGTGCCGCAACTCCAGCATCTGATACAGAGGAAGTGATCTACTTTAATCCCCACCTCTTGTAAACCACCTTTTCTTAACCTAGGATCCACAGATGTAATTGAAAGACTGTGATCTCTTGATACTGCATGCAGAAATTTCTGTGTATGACTGCATTTTTCTGGAGAGTAACTCCAAAGATTTCTCATACCCAGAAATATATCCTAAGGAAATAACTGAAAACTGAGGGAAAATGATATACACCGTTATCAACTGAAAAATTATTTGCAATGGTGATAAAAAGGTAAATTCGATCTGGGGATGGAGAGGTGGTTAAAATACCAACTCAACAGATGATGAAGCCAATAACAACCATCACCAAAGCTTACGTGTTCCCAAAGAAGTGAAGAACCACTATTCTAAGGTCTTTTTCAGTTCTAACATTTTGTGTTTCTGTGAAGCTCTGAGGATGAAATTTGGTGGAATCTCACCCCTAAATCTAAACCAACAGCTCAAGGCTGGCCTAGTAACTCAGATATAACCTAGAAACCAATCGACCCCCCGCCCCGCCCCAGCTGCGGCTACACACATCTCAAAATGGGGAAGCTTCCCCACACACTGAATAAAGGACAAACCAAGATCAGGCTCCCGCCGTCGCCCCCTCCTGCCCCGAGGTAACGCGGGGCCTGGGGCTAATAACAGGCCTCTGTTCCAAGGAGGTAAGCTGCAGTCTCCCCGCTCCCCAGATTTTCTTCCTCACATTCCTTCCACCATCGGCAAGCTGGAATCCCCGAGGCCGTGGTGATCCAGTCAGCCGACGGGCCTGCAAAGCGGGTGGACGAAAGCAGAAGGCACTCTGCTGGCCGACTTCGCGCCCTTCCCGCGAGACAGACTTGCCCGCCCTGAGGAAAACCCAAACAACGCCTACTGCACTCCCACTCACGGGAGAAAAGGAAGCTGAAAACTGCGAGCAACCACAGCGGAACCCTGGTAGAGAAGAAAGGTCCTAGCCTCTCTTCCTCACCTGGCTGCGACTCCCGGGCCCGGTCGCGGGCTTGCGGCCGCTTTACCTTTTCGGCCCTGCAGCTCTCATCAGTCACTTCCACAACACTCGCGCAGACGAATTCCCGCCTCCCACCCCCCTCGACTCCCAGCACCAATCGCCGGGCGAGCTCAGACAACCAATCACCCGCCAAGACGAGAAACGAAGCAACCAATCCCGGCTCGAGGTCAGGGGGCGCTCTGGAACCCAACGGAAGCCCCCGCAGTAAAAAAGGAACCAAGCTACTTGGCGGCACCGGAAGGCGATTGCCCCGAGAGTGATGGACTTCCGCAGAGCCCAGGGATTTAAAGGAAAAGAGTCTTCTTCGTTGGACTTTTTGAAACCGGTGATTTAATCCGTGCCGCAGTTTTCTTGGAAACTCTTAAATTTCATATTTAAGGTCTGTAGACCAACGAAGAGGAAACACCGTTAAGCCGCGCCGAGTTCTCTCAGCATTCCTCAGGGGCACCCGATTCAAACTTCCGAACTTTCCGGAAGCCAGAGTATCGAAAAGACCCAGGAGGGAATTGCCAGACTGCTGAGCCAAATTAGGCGAAAAGGTTCGATGACAGCTGGCTACAGAACCTCCTGATAGTCAAGGCTTTCTCAGATACCACGTTCAACCAGAGAAACGCTCTCGAGGTCTCCAGTACCTCCTTTAAGGCTTGTCAGCCTTCTGTCCCTCCTAAGACCAATTTATTCTTTGCCAAGTACACTTCAGTTTCCTCAAAGGTACGGAGTTAACCATGATGTCGCCAAACTGTTGGGTTTGTTAAAAAACTGTAGCCTAAACTTGGCTCAAATACTAGTGCCCTCCAAAAGCAAAACCTGAGACAGTTTCTCACATCCCGAGAAACCAGTTTGGGACAGAGATTTGCTGCAGGTCGGAGCAGCAAAAGGCGAGTTGATTTGTTTGCCTCACTTTGTTTTACTATATCTTCCCAAAATGACAAAACGTACAATCATAAATTCTACCCTTAATTTAGTAATCTCAGGCTCAGACATTTACCCTAAAGAAGTAATCTAAAAGTAAGAAAAAGTAGTAGTACCTCAGTTGATAATAGTGCCCATTCTGTTGGGAAAAAAATCATTAACTTCCCAATCTAGTAGTAATAGGGAGATGGTTATATTAATTCAGTCATTCTGGAGCCAATAAAATAATTATAAAAACCAAACAACTTGCAAAAAATTTCCATATAAAGTTAAATTAAAAAAAGCAGATGCCAAACTGGGTATTATGGAATTCCATTATGTGAAAATACATATGCATAAGCAAAGATGAAGGGAAAGTACAAAAAAATGAAATACTGGTAAGACAGTGCCATGGAAGATAATTTATAAAAATAAATCCTTAAAAATACCTTCAAATCATTATTCTGCTTTTACAATTTTTTTTAAAAATCAAAATCTTTTAAGTAACTGCTCCAGGGTAACTACTCTGATTTTCCTCTCCTGAATTCCTAAGGCTCTCAACTGACTCTCACCTTCTATTGCCTTTTGATGTATGTAGTGTAACAAAAAGGGATACACATAGTTTCTGGAGCCAGACAGTCCTGCATTCCAGTCCCTTGAACTGTTCCTTTCAGATTAACAGTGGTGAAATGAAACACAAAAAACTACAAGTTCATTTGATAAAGAATATGAATGTTTATAAACTAATATTCAAAATAGCTGCACACATCTGTTTTTCACTTGAATAAAAAAAAATCACATTGTGACAAATGTTATAACCTTAACTTAAAATACATGAATATTAACATTTACTAATATATTTACACATTTTATTTACATCATCAACAAACGTGATGAAAAACAGCATATGTTATTATTTTAACACAGCAGGTTTTGACCAGTCTTTGAAAATTGATCCAGGAATGTGCACAGCATTTAGTTAGAAAACCTTTTCTGAATTCCTAGAGGTTACCTACTCACACAAGATATTCCAAAGCCTCAGTTTAAACAAAACAAAACAGGAGCAGTTGTACTTAATTTTAAAAGACTACAAAACTGCCTTGTTTAAAAATATGAAAATTCTTATAGTTTGTTTTTAAGTGTATGCTTTTATTTTTTGCATCAAAATTACTTAGTTGAACAGCATCTAATAAAAGTTATAAATACTCTCATCAATGATACTGTGCACTTCATGATTTGAAACAGATACAAATTAGTTCTTATACCCTTATGAGGTAGGGCCAGCAGTAATCCCATTTTAAACAGAAGGAAAATAAGATGTGACTATTTGCTAGTGAAAAGGCTGAAATTAAATTTTTTTTCTTAAAAACCACACTTTCTTATTAGCCTGCCTTATTTCTAAGTGAAGAGGTCTGTTTCACGTGGGGTGGGAAGGGGGTGTTCATTCAGGTATATCTCAGAAAGCAAAGTACCTTCTACACTGGATACTTCATTAAGAAAAAAAATGAGGAGCTTCCCTGGTGGCGCAGTGGTTGAGAGTCCCCCTGCCGATGCAGGGGACACGGGTTCATGCCCCGGTCTGGGAAGATCCCACATGCCGCGGAGCGGCTGGGCCCGTGAGCCATGGCAGCTGAGCCTGC